TTTTTCTGTTCTGTGACTACTTTTTAATGCATTTTGCTACGGTATGCTCTTTTAAATACAGTGTACATCAACCCCTGCCCCAAACTCAAAATTATACTTCTATTGCTTACCAAACAAGCAAGTTAAACAGACAAGCAAATTTAAGGCTCTCTATACTTGTCCTTCGTCCCTTCTCCCACCAGAACATTTCTGGTCTTGCCTCAGTCCTCTCCACTGTAATATGAGTTCTCTGCCCAGCCTGGACTTGCGGGATCAGCCCTGTAGATGCGCTGGTGCATTCTTACCCCCAGAACCTTTCCTCCTCTCCACGCATTCTTCCTGCTCACCACTGAAGACACTGAATTTAAACCTAACTCAAATCCTTGGCCTTGCCATTTTTAATGACTCTGGAGGCACCCACTGGCAATACCACTTAGTGGGCAGTTAGTTAGATACTAATTGTTATTGTAAATTCACCTGTGAAGCCCATGAATCTTTTCAAATAGATGGTAAATTATATGGGGACAAATACTGTGTTCTTTTGCTTTTCTGTGTGACTCCAGTGCCCAGGACTATAAGTAATGGTTGATGTATCCATGGGTAGGTTATATGTTTTCCCAAATGACACAGCCTGCAGAGAATGGAAAGAATGGAGGTATTCCTGCTGGAATATGTTGACTGTTTACATAAAAACAAACACTTGGGGAAATCCAGACAATTGAAGTAAGTATGGAGAGATTCTTAGATAGCCAGATTTTTATTACCATTGAGAGGGAGAAGACTCCATTTTACATGTTGTTTTTTTTAACATCACCTAGGACTTCATGGCCTTCAGAAATGGTTGTTCTTGATTATCACTGAAAAATTTCTAGCTTAGTCTCAGAGAAAAATCATCTTACAGAGATTTAGATCCCTCAGATTTGGGGATGAGAAGTGGTAAATGGATGAGTTTTAGGTAGGTAATTTTGGCCAAACGAGTTGGAAGAAAATTTCTGACTGAATGTAATGGAACTGGTTGCTGCTTCTTTGTGTTTTAGGTTCTATCTAAGGGTTGACTCTTCCTTATCTACCTCCAGACACAAATGTAGTTTTTTTTTGTTTTTGTTTTTTTTCTAGAAAATCACGAAAGCCACATCTGAGAGACATGAGACATTCATACATCAGGTTCCATGGAAACCTACTAGCACAGTAAGGAGCAGACAGACTGACACCTCCTGAGATGTGAGGAGTAAAAGGTTTACCCCGTTGTGTTGGGACTGACTCTGCTAAGACATCATGTAATGATAGACCTCAGAACAAGGAAAACAGTTCACCCTGAACATCAGCTACACAGGACCGGGAGCAGCTGGGTCAAGAAGACTTTCCTAGAAGTGTGAACAATTAACCACTTTGTCACAGGCAAAGGAAAAGATGGTAGCTGCCTGCCATCTTGAATTTGCCAATCCTAATGCAAGACACAAATAAGCTCAGACTATTCAAACTGATCCGTCCTTCAAAATCCCATTGACATACCCCTCCACCTTGAGACTGGGGCTCTCCCTCACATTCAGTGTTTATGTCTTATTACATGCTTGTGACTGCTACATGTTATTTATCATCAAATACTGCCTCTTAATGAAGTTCTGGTGTGGTGCTGTAGGATAAGTACTGGACCACAAGGTTCAAACTCACCAGCTTCTCTTCGGAAACCGTATACATGGTCGCTATTGTTGGAAACAACTTGATGGCACTTAACAACAACAATAACAACTGTCTATATATCTGGAGAGCCAAGAGGTCCTCCAAGTTGAGAGAATTAAGCATTTGCTGTGCTTAATTCGGTGGGTACTGAGTTGTGAGTATGTGAAAACTGCATTTGAATTCAGAGGCAACAGCTATGAAATAAGCAGCTCCTGGAATGTCCTTCTCCTGCCCTCCCTTCCACCTGGTCCTGGAGCAGGGGACACAGAGGTGGACTCGCTGACTCTGAGTTGAGCTTTGTCCTCAGAGCATGAAGGGTCTGTTTGGGAGAGGAGGTGATTCTGGGAAGGTTTCAGAGCCAGCCAGCACAGGAATCCCTCAAGGAGGACTTAAATGCATGTATTAACTTTGGGATGAAACAGTATGTGACACCTGGAAACCTTGTGGGTGGAAAAGAGCATTTCAGTGTTAAGTACTATGACAGGTCCCTCTGTTTCTTCCTTGTAAAAAAACCCCTCCAATTTTGTTCAAGTGTCACAGAACCTCTAGGGAGGCTGGGTCCCTCTCCAGGCCTGGGAGTGACTCTCCATTAATCAGGGAGCCAGGCACAGTTAATTCTTCTTGACCATGAAGGATTCAGGCATGAACACATAATGCAATTCGGGCCAATAAGCTGCAATGGGAAGTTTGCTGGGGACCTCTGAGAAAGGTTTTATTCATTTCAATAAATGGTCATCTGAGGTGAAACTTCCTTTTTCCTCCTTCGGATGTTGCTGTACAAGGATATGATGCTTGGAGCCATTACAACAATTTTGTATTCATAAGGATATACAATATAAGGCTGAGAATATATTGAAGATGGCAGAAGAGGAAGAAGGAAAGAACGGAGACTCTTTGTGACTTTATTGAGTGCTGAACTAATTCTGGAAATTCCACATCTCCATGTATATACACATATATATGTTGTTGTGATGTTAAGTGTAGGGTTCCCAAGGAGCAGCTGGTGAGTTGGAACTATTGACCCTGCGGTTCAAACTGACCTTGTAGCCAGTGCTCTCTCTCTCTCACACACACACACATATATATATATGGAGTCCTGGTGTGACATTGTTGTAATCAACGTGGAAGCACTCAACAACAGTAACAACATATATTGTTGCCGTTGTTGTTAAGTGCCTGCAAGTTGGCTCCGACCCATAGCAACCCTGTATAGGGTTTCCAAGGAGTGGCTGGTGAGCCTGAACTGCTGACCTTGCAGTTCAAACTGATTTTGCAGTCCAGGGCATTAACCCACAGCGCCATACTGGGACTCCAACAATATATATACGTGTGTGTGTGTGTATATCTTTATCTATATCTATCTATCTATCTATATATAGATATATATATGTGTGTGTATGTATTTTACCCATAATTAATCAATTTTGATATGCATAACAAGGCGCTCTGGTAGTGTAGTGGTTACAAATCAGGCTGCGAACCTTAAGGTCAGCAGTTCGAAACTACCAGCCGCTCTGCGGGAGAATGATGAGGCTTTCTACTCTAGTAAAGTCGGAGCCAACTCGAAGGCACTTAACAACAACAACATTTTACATATAACATTACTGAAATCAGTATGCAATTCTCATGACGTGTCATAGTTAAACTGGCTGCATTTAAAATTTTGTTAGTGGAATTTAATATAATGGGGATGCTTTACAATGAACTATGATTAAGATTTGATGAAGTGGGGGATGTCTCAATTGTTATGTGCCTTTTCATGGGTTTTCTATCATTTTCTTCTAAAAGTATTCTACTTGATGGGGATATTCTCCTTACAGCAGGGAGCTCTGTCTGGGGCAAGAATCCTGGAGGAGGTCACACAGTCTGGGCAAGATGACCATATCTCTGTGTGGGGCTGAACTCTGCGTTTCCTGAGAGATACACTCTAGCTGTGCAGACCCCTCCTATTTTCCCAGCACAGAACTTACCATAGGCAACTAACGGTTATGTCTAGCACTGACCTTAAAACAGCCGGTCAGAGAGGGGGTTCTTGAACTTTTTGAAATCTAGAGTCTAGGCCCACTTGGCTGGAGAATGAGAAAAGCCGACCTGTAGCAACCCCGTATAGTGTTTCCAAGGAGAGGCTGGTGAGCTTGAACCGACAACCTTGTGATTAAAACCAACTTTGCAGTCCAGCACAATAACCCACAGCACCATACCAGGACTCCACAGGACACCAGAAGTAGATAAAAAATAAAATCAGTTGTGGGTAAGTTGATTGTGACTTTAGGTACCCCCATGAGGGGGCTTCAAAAAGTTTATGACAGATAATGGAATCTTCTTACAAACTCCTCTTGAATATCGGAGAAGAACTGTGCGCCATAGGGCTTCAATGGCTGATTTTTCAGAAACCAGACCTTTCTTTTGAAATCCACCTTTGGGTGGATTCAAACTACCAACCTTTCGGTCAGTGGCTGTGTACTGAACAATCTGAGCTCCTCAAGGACTCCAGAGGCAGATCAGATGGAATTAAGTCCAGTGAAATAACCATCAGCTCCTACTCCAAACACTGTCTCAAAATTTGAGGCTATGACTCCACCCCTTTTCCTATTGTAGACAGAAAGCAGAGCTATTGTTTCACCACTTCCTTCCACCCAAAATTTCCTCTTTCTCTGGATCCCGGCTGCTGTGTGCTGTGGAGTCGGTTCAGACTCACAGCGACCGTGTACAGGATTTCTGAGGCTATAAATCTTCATGGGAGCAGAAAGCCTCACCTTTGTCCCATGAATTAGCTAGTGGATTTGACGGCTGATCTTGAGGTTAGCAGCCCAACACGTGACCCATTACACTTCCAGGGTTCCATTCTTGTATCCCTAGTCATACTTATATTTCTTTTTTGGACTATTTAAAAAATACAAGACTACAAAATAAGATCCCAACTCAGCAGGACCCTTGTCAGCCCAGGTGGACAACTGTATGATGTTTCACTTCACTCAGGGGGCACAAAGGAGCTTTCTGACATTGTGGACATGAATTCTAGTTACATTTCTTCTGGACTTCTTTGCTTGAAGTTGCTGAAGGGATCTACTCTTACTCCTATTGGGGTTCCTTGCTGTTGAAGAACAGAGGGACTGAGCCAGGTGATAGGTGGAGTGTTCTCCCAACTCATCCATATGTCCCTGACAGCCAGATAGAGTGTGTGTGTGTGGTGGTTGTGGTGGTGGTGGTGGTGTCCTCAGGTTTCAGCTCCTTTCCACCTCTGTCCCTCCCTGTCCAAGCACAGGCCACTCGCTAAGACTGATTTCCCTCTGGTGCAACACCATCCCAAGCTAAAGTTCAGGGAAGTTGAAGTCACTCACCCACGTAGAAATACTCTGGGGATTTGTTCTCTGATGATAAATCTTTTATGGTGCCTCCAAACCGAAACCATAGTCCAAAAGCAATGACGGCCAACCCTGCCAGCTGAAAGGTAAACAACACATTACAAGGGAAGGGGGAGTGTGTGCACAAACAGGGAGAGTCACAGGATGTAGAAGGTTGCCCTTCACCCATCAGAGATCACTGACCACCCCACCCCCACCCCCCCAGTTACATTTGACAGGAGGAAGCAGAGGCTCAAGAGAGGTAGAGTGATGTGCTCCCTGGTATCATATTAGGGCTTCCTGAATTCAAGCCCAGGGTTTTTTCACATCCTGCCACACGCCTTGTGTTATGGGACATGCACAGGACAGTCTGGAAGACATCTCAAAAGGAATGTTCCAAGAACATTCCCCCTGGAAGGCATCTGTCCCATCTTTCTATCCTTTCCTGGGCAACTTGTACCTCATCACCAACACTACCTGGAGTCCCTGGCTGGCGCAAATGTTTACGTATTCAACTGTTAACCTAAAAGTTGATGGCAGGTATGGCTCATGCTCTGGACACCACATGAAGTGAGGGGTGAGGATTGCCAAAGATCAGTTTCTATTCACCACTGCAGTTTCCATCGCTAGCTGAGAGATCATTCAGCAATTTAAAACTAGTTGCCATCAAGCATGATTTCTTGTTGATAACACCTCTAGGTTGGAACCCACCCAGAGACACTTCTGAAAACACACCTGGTGATCTGCCTCCAAAAGGCCACAGTCTCTAAAACCCATGCACACATGGGGTCAGAATCAGCTAGATATTACCACCTCAGTGACTGGTGACTGAGTTTCTGCCACTGGGTCACCAAGAGCAAGATGAACTCTCAGACCTGGGGGAAACCCGCTTTTTCTAAATTGGAAGAAACACACTAACCTCAGATCCCACCCACACCTCATGAGTGTGCAGTGTCCAATTAGAAAGCTTTTTTAGGGATGTCTATAACCCTTTCCCCCCCACATTCATCATGGGGCACCACACTGCCTGGGGATGGTTGCAGGGAGGGAGACTGGCTGTTTTTTGTTGTTGTTGCTATTTTGAGTTTCCATGGAAAGTGAGAAAGGGAAAAACTAATTTTCTGAAAAAGTGAGCTCTGTGTGCTGTGTGGCTCCGCGGAGAGGTGGAGGGCTGGCGCAGGGAGCCCTGGGCAGGCCGGCGGCTGGGCTGGTAGAGTCATCACCTGCTTCCTCGCCTTTACTCCTCTGAGGGCTTTTGTGAGGCCCAAGCTTTGGAGCAGGAATCTTTTCTGTGTTGCAGGGCTGCTTGCACCGCCAGCCAGCAAGCTCCAGCCATGGTATCCTTCACAAACTCCCCTGTTGAAATTCACTGTATCAATCAATCAGCAGATATTTACTGGGCACCCTCTGTGCCAGAGGCACTATGGGAAATGGAGCAGAGATGTAAAAATAGCCTCCTCAACCCAGTGACCGCTCCGCTGCTCTAGCCAATCTCCAGATGGACAATCTAGACACTGCGCCTTCCCAAACAGGGAAGAGCTTTCACAGATGCTGGCAAGAAGATAGAAGGATGATAATCATACAAATAGAAGTTTAATAAGGAAACAAGTCAGGGCTAGACCAGAGTCCTCTTAAACACAAGGCCTCTGTCTTGTGGGGCTGTTTGCTAAGGACCCAGGGTTACCCTGTGAGACAGTGTGGCTGGGTTTGTTTGTATGACTTTATCTCTCTTTCCCTTCTGTCCCGGTTTGTGGCTGGGTTCTTTAGAAAAGCAACTGTACATCAGTGAGGAGAAATCAGAGGGCCGAGTTCTACCAGCTGGATTCTCTAATATGGAATAACTAAAATTTTCCAGTACTTAGAGGAAAGTACTAATTGGATAATATGCGGGACAGTGACAAGAACTGGGCTCAACCACTTTTTGAAAGATTTTTGCATTTTTAAAAAGCATAGTATGGCATGGAAACACATTGGAAGGAGTCAAGCTACAACATTAACAATATTTCATCTTTGAAAGCTGGGGCTACAGGTGATTTTTTTTTTTTTTTACTTTGCACCATATTTTCCAAGTTTTCTGCATGACTGCTCTTGTGACTTTAGAAAACATTGTTTTTTTTTCTTTCTTAAAAAAAAAAATTGTTACATGGTGGCTGGTTTATATGCTCAATACTGAAAAAATGGGGGAGAATCTTCTCCCATAGGGCTTCAGTTTGGGAGGCAACCCAGTTTTGAGGTCACGAAAGAGCACGATGCCCTTAGGAAAGTACCTTTCTGGGAGCACCCAGAGGCTGCGTTGGCCAGATCTGTCTGGCAAAGTCTCCTAGCCAGCCCTGCCCATTCTGGCCTATGCAGCGACTTGAGTGAAAGGAGAAGTTTCCAAATACAAAGCAGAACTTATTGACAGAGGCGTCAGGCCAAAGCCTGTAGCCACCAAGGAGACTGTGGAGGAGGTGGCTGGTCTCAGGGACACCCCACCACCAGGCCACATTTTTGGAATCTCTGTACACAAACTCTAATTTATAGTGGTCTGGGAACATCCTCCCAGACGGAATACATTTGTCCACTTCTGGCACAGATGTGTTTGATGCATAATGGAAAATAAAAAGAGAGGTTGCAATTTAAAGCCACCGGGCAAGGAGAAAAAAAGCTGTGCTTGCTCATCCACACCCCTGGACCCAAACCACACGGGTTTCCTTCTGGGTCAAGGAAACTGTGGCTCAGCTGAATGTCATCATTGTGTGCAGGGGAATCCTCCCAGGCGCTACTGCGTACTGTGTCGGGGACTCTGTGGGTGAAGACATGGCCAGGGCTGGTGCTGCTGGTGACGAGAGTGACACCGTTTTGTAAAGTGGCCTCCTTTTTAACGGCATCATTCCTGTAAGGCTCAGGAAATACTCTGTGTTTACCTAACTCTAGTTGATCTACCACAGACTAGAAATGGTTTGAGAAAAGTTAAAAATTAAAAAAAAAAAGGAATTGTTAAAAAATGTATATAGACTCCAGTGTAGTCAGGAACAAAGTGAACAAGTCCAGTGTCATTAGGTTCTCATCACCTCATACATTCCACACAGTGGGAGAGATGGTGGTCTCAGGAAATGGCCTGAGAGAGGACTTTAAGCCCTTCTATTCCAAATTTTAACCCTAACCAGTTGCTACTGAGTGGATTTCAGCTCATGATGACTCCATGCATGTCAGAATACAGCTGTGCTCCGAAAGGGTTTGTGGGTTTTTTTTTTTTTTAATTAAAAAAAATAAAACAATTGTTATTGCTGTTGAGAATATACACAGCAAAACATACAGCAATGTAACAGTTTCTACATTTGTACCACTTAATGACAATGATTATATTCTTTGAATCGTGCATTCTCACTCTCCTTTTCTGAGTTGTTCCTCCTCCACTAACATTGCCCCCTAAGTTTCTATCTCATCTTTCAAGTTGCTGTTATCAATTTGATCTCATATATATTGTTTTTGAATGATATATGTGAGATCAAATTGTGTGTGGTGTGGTGCTTTAGGATAATGCACTGGACTGTAAGGTCAGTTTGAACCACAAGGTCAGTGGTTCATATTCACCAGCTGTGTTTTGGAAACAGGGTCACTGTGAGTCAGAACTGACTAGACGGCACTTAACAACAACATATAGTTTTTAGAAGAACACAATGCTCAAGGCAGACTTTCTTCTTCTTTTTTTTTTACTAGTTAAGCTAAACTACTGTTTGATTTTAAGAAGACTTCAGTTGATATTTTTGGTTTAAGGCTTAAAGATGATCTCAGGGCAATAGTTTTAGGGTTTCATCCAACCTTCAGGACTCCAGTAAATACGGAGTCCGTGAGACTTTGATACACTGTTCTGCATTTCTCTCCTGTTGGTCTGGCTATTCCTCTAGAATCTTTAATCCAAATGTTCAGTAAAAGTAGCTGGGTGTCATCCAATTCTGGTTTCAAGACAGTGTAGGCACTGCTCAGGGAGACAATTAGCCACATGTTTCATGTCCCCCTTCCAGTCCTCTGTTCCTCTAGGTCAGGGGTAGGGAATCTTTCTTCTGTCAAGGGACATGTGGATATTTATAACATCACCGCGGACCATACAAAATTATTAACTTAAAAATTAGCCCTCTATTATTAGGTCAAACATTTCATTAATTCACTTCTAATGTGATAGCTGGAGTCCTGGTGTGGTGCTGTGGGCTAACATGTCAGATTGCAAAGTTGTTTAAAACTGCAAGGTCAGTGGTTCAAGCTCACGTCTGCTCCTTAGAAACCCTATACAGGGTCGCTATGGGTATGAATCGACTCGATGGCACTTAACAACAACAACAGTGTGATTGATGGCTGGAGTCATGGTGTGGTGCTGTGGGTTAAAGCGCTAGGCTGCAAAGTTGGTTTGAATTATCAGGTTGGTGGTTCAAGCTCACCAGTCGCTCCTAGGAAACCCTATACAGGGTCACTATGGGTCGGAACCAACTCAATGGCATTGAACAACAACTACAACAACAGTGTGATGTCTGGAACTGTGGTTGCCTTGGTATGGCCAGACCAAATGTTTTCATGGGCCTTATACGGCCCTTGAAGGAACTCTGGTAGCGTAGTGGTTACAAGTTGGGCTGCTAACCACAAGATCAGCAGTTTGAAACTACTAGCTGTTCCATTAGAGAAAGATGAGGCTCTCTGCTACTATAAAGATTTACAGCCTCAGAAACCCTACATAGGGTCGCTATGAGTCCATGGTATATAACCAACCATATGGCCCTTGGGCTGTATGCTCCCCACCCCTGCTCTAGGAGAATAGGGACTAATTGTGCCTTGGATGGCCCCTTGAAAGCTTTTAAGACCCAGACACTGTTCAATGAACTATATGTAAAAAACAAGTGTTAAACATGTTCTTAGACCATTTAACTGGGGCATTCCATGAAACTATGACCTTAAACCTCCAAACCAAGGAATCAAAATCCCGTGAGTATTCATAAGGAACCTCAGCAGCTACTCATTTGTTGTTGTTGTTGTAAATACATCATTCAAGCTTTGCTAATTCAAATTTCCACAGGTGTACAACTTTATTAAGGAGCTCTGGTAGCGTAGTGGTTACGAATCGGGCTG